TGCTTTCCAGATCATTGCTGCTAGGTGACTTTTGCCAAATTATTTAGGTTTCTCATCTGAATACTGGGAAAGAAAACAGCTGCCCTATCTGTCTCCACAAGGTGATGGTAGGAATGAGGGAAGAGTTTGTATGTGGGCCCACAAACTGCAAAATGCATACAAAGGACAGCAACCCAAGGCAAGGAACTACCCAACAGGAAAGAGCCACGTCATGCTCATGAGTTAACCTTGTTGAGATCCATGTCACCCCACTGTAAGGTGATATTTGCCTAAATTCAGCATAGACTTCATATGCATCTGAATGCATAAACTTGTCTAAATCAGCTTATTCAAATATATCTGAAGCTAAAGCCTAAATGTACACACAGCAAAAAAGGTTTTCTAGAATCCCAGAGATAGGAATACATCCTGCACCCTATCTTCCCACCCTGCTGAGCTCAGCTCATTCCTATCCAGGAAAGCTATCTGGATGAAACCTGATTACAACTAAGGGTGGTCTAGCTGGAGATCCTTCAGGTAAGGGGTTCCCAAAAGAAGGTGGAGAGTGAGATTATGCTCAGATACTAGAGTCTTGTAGAAGACCCCAGTGGGCTCAACCAGTTGCCCTCTGTGCCTGCACTATATCTAGGAAACATGGGTCCATGCTCACTCCTGGGAGTAGGGGTGTCCTCTGTGAGCTAAGAGCTCCATGGAGGTGGAGACCTGGTTTAGTCATCGTGTGTGTGTGCGCGCGCTGATACTGGGACTTAAACTCCGAGCCTCTAGTTCTCACTCAACTGGCTCACTTGAGCCACACTTCCATTTCTGGCTTTTTGCTGTTTGATTGGAGTTAAGAGTCTCATAGATGTTCTGATCGGATATCTTCAAAGTGTGATTCTCAGGTCTCAACCTCCTGAGTAGCTAGGATTACAGGCATGAGCCACTAGCACTCTGCTGGCTTAGTGGTCTTTGGGTCTAACCCTGTGTCCCCTGCAATCATCCTGACAATACAAATGATATCTAAGCACTTCTACCTGACTGGCCTGTGTAAGAACCTAACCAGACTAACCTCACTGGATCCTTTGCACGACTGTATTTGGATTCATCACTTTGAGAATGTCCTGAAGTAAATGAAGTAGGAAAAGAATGAAAGTCTCTGGATCGTGTACAAAAAGCCACTAGTGACAACATTTGTTTAGGTGAATCCTCATCACTCGGCTTTGCATAGATCCAAGGCCTAGAGGACCTCTCCCTCCATCTAGTGAAGCAGACTTCCTCTTCCTAGTGACCTGGTACCTTTCTGATAGGTGGGAAGAATGTTCTTCATTCCTGAGAATGGTTTAGGTTAGTTTTCCTTTTACCCTCAAGACATAAAGTTGTGTTGTTGCTATCCAGGAGTGTTTGAATCAGATAACTGCTTCTGCTAACTAATTATGATGGGGGGAGGGGAGGTAAATGCTCATCTATTCTCAAACCAGAGACTTTTTGAGTAGCTGTTCTCAGGTTTAGATTAGCTTATAAATAAAACACGCTCAATATGTCATTCCATGACCTCAGCACACATTCTCCAAATTGTTCCTCTTGGTGGGTTTGCCAGAGAGTGAGTTACTCAAAGCTGGGGCTTCTAAGAGGACTTTGCTGAAAATGTTTTAGGGCTACACCCAGTTTGGGTTCCAGGCAAGTACTTCTGTTGGGGGGGTGCTGTTGAATTTGGAGTAGGATCATAGTTCTTTGCATGGTCTGTCTAGAGAAGCATCCTTCATACTGAATATTTGTAACCCCATTTCTGCTATTAGGACAACCACGGAATATTTCCTGCGTGGTTGGGGTAGGCGTCGGGGAGAATGGTGCCTTGATGAAAACCATTTCCATCTGATTTCAGCTTATTATTGTGTTCTTCCTTGCTCCTTGCAGTAGAACTTTAGGCTCTCTGTTGCTCATTTGTCTCTGGATTGAAGCAAACATGGATGGAATTTTCTAGGGAGACTCTATCTCCTGAGTTTCCTTGTTCTCCTCTCAGGTACGATGAAGATTGCTTTCAGTCAGTCCTTGGGGGATTGACCCTTTCTTTTCCACACCGTTTGTTTGGAAAGCCTTATGTATGGGTCAATATTCATCAGACAATATTGTTGTAACACATCTCAAGTTCACTGTCAGCTTCACTACATCAAAAATACATCAACAAGCTGGTCTCTGGCGGTTCAGGCCTATAATTCTAGCTACTCAGGAGGCTGAACTCGGAAAATCACAGTTTGGAGCCAGCTGAATTCAAGATCCAGTACTGGGACACAGATATACAACAACAGTTCCCAGTGAAAAGGGCAAATGAGATTGGATGGGAAAGAAACACACTGTTTACTGTATATTTTTTGTACCTTTTGAATTTTGACCTCTGAATACATGAACGGATACATTATAAAATATTGAGCAGAGGGAAGGAATAGTCAGGATAGGGAGAAATGCACTTTGAGCCTTATCACATAGCCTAGATTTCTCTGGATCAGAGAAGCCCTGTAAAATCTGGTTATTTGTCTCCTCCCGATTATTCTGAGTTGGGCACAGATCTGAGCTGTGATTTGTCCTGAGCTGAATCTATATTGGGGTTCAAGGATAGACCCAATCTTGTGATGCTGGTTGTTGTATCTGCTTGGAGATGTTGTTGAGGACGTTGCTTATGTCTCCTTTGTGATGTCTCCAGGGAGGCATTCTTGCCTTTCATAGTCACAAGAACAGTTGGTTTGAATTGGTTCTTTGGCCACTTTGAATTATGTAAATGAGAAGTTTCTAGAAAGCATGGAGTCATCTGAGTGTATGGGCCTGGGTTGTGAGTTCACAGGGTGATCATATTTTAATTTGATTCCTAACTTTTTAATTCCTTAATTTTGCCCCTTAAGTCTTTCCTTAACTTTTTCTGTAACTCTTTCTTTTGTCCCTACATTTAATTCATGTTTTCTAGTTGTGGTCTAATATATTCATAGCATTTCTGTTCCTCCTCCTCCTCCTCCTCCTCCTCCTCCTCCTGCTCCTCCTCCTCCTCCTCCTCCTCCTCCTCCTCCTCCTCCTTCCTTGTGGAGCTTGACCTAAGGGCCTGGGCACTGTCCCTGAGCTTCTTTTGCTCAGGGCCAGCACTCTACCCTTTGCACCACAGCACCACTTCTGGCTTTTTATGTGTATATGGTACCAAGGAATCGAACCCAGGGCTCCATGCTAGGCAAGCACTCTACCACTAAACCACATTCCCAGCCCTATTCATACCGTTTTGATATCTAATATATTCCTGCTATTTCTGGATAAGGATGGGGTACAATGAATAAACTTCAAATGAGGATAAAAGAAAAAAAAACCCTGAAACTATTCAGAAAGTATCCACATTTTCTTTTTATTTCCCCCCTAGATAATTAGAACCATGGAAAAATAAAATTCTTCTTGGCTGTTTTCCATTCACTTCTAGACACTTCTAAGTTTAAAGCTAAGTCAGCAGCTCTCAGTCAAGTGGAAGGATTGTGTGTCTCAGGGATACTTTTTGTTGTGACAGGTGGAGTGGTGATTTGCCATTGAGTGGGAAGAGACCAGGGATGCTGTCAAGTATCTTATGTCATTCAGGCCAGTCACAGTGCAAGGATTATCGGATGCTGTATGTCAATGGTGCCCAGGTTGAGAAACTCAGGTGTATTTAACAAACTTCATGAGATTTCTGTAAAGCTTGTATATTATCATGTCACCAAACAAACATAGTGGCTTTATCCCAGGAAGGGTACTGTGTAGGTTACATGAACTTAAATATCTCCCATTTTTATCATTGCTTACTTCCTTCATCTCATTCCCTTTTTTTTAGACTCCTACTTCATGGCTTCAGTAACTCTGGAAGGTCATGTACTTGAGTGACATTCTTTTTGGTTTGAGCCTCTCATAAGCATCTGCCCCATCTTAGCTGGGGTTGAATTGCTCCCAGCTTAAGCCTATTGTCCCTACCAATAGGAGGGATAGGATGGGGTTTGATGGATCTGTCAGTGAAAGCATCAGGGCAGTGCTAAGAGAGGCCAAAGTATGGCTACCTAGCCTGCACAAGTGGGAGGAAGAGGGCGTGGGCTATCTTGTGACTATGGCAGATTCCTGTCAGAACCACACGTGGAGGTGGGCACCTTGACAGAATTCTGTAGACAGCTAGGGCTGACTTGCTACATTTGGGTCAGGCTAACATGTGGACTGCGTGCCTGCTGAAGGATAGGAACCTGAAGTGTCCTTCAGCTCTTTGCTCGGCCCAGTCCTGTCTGGGTAGTGGGGCAGAGTTGGATGGCTTTGCAATTTCTGGACCCTTAGTTGAATCTCTTCAGAAATTTTCACAGAATCCTGTGTGGGTGAGCAGCTATGTGAGGTGGAAACAGGCTTTGCTGAGCTAAGGACAAGGATAGCATGGACATGGTATGAGGACCATGAGCAGATCAACCCGGCTGCAGCTGACCAGGAAAGGAACATTCTCCAAGTAGATTCAACATGAAGTGGAGGTAGCCTGGTTCAGGAATGGCCTGAAACTCTACACATTGTCAAGTTGCCTCTGTCCTGTTCCATGAAGATTGTTAAAGGTGTGTCCAGGTAACTCCCACTCTTTCCCTTTTTGTAGCTTGGAGCTGGGCCCCAGAGCCTCTCAGGAGAGGAAGAGTTAAAAAGCACCTTCCACAGAGCATAGACTTGTACCAAGCGCCAAAAGGAGAGGGTTATTTTCTATTATTGCACTCATGGGGACAAAGGTAGGGCGTCTCCACTGGGTATGTGTCAACACATGTCAAGCTACAGGGAACCCATACTAACTTAATCCCAGAACTGGGCATTGCACATCCAGGTTCTTTGACCCCAATCTTTGATCCTATAAAGAACATAAAATCGGCTTTAGGAGCACAAAAAGGTTTAGGTAGGGGCTGAGGGATTTCTAATCCCAGACTTTGTGGGAAGCTTAGACTCATTCATCGGGCCCTAAAGTGTCTGTAGAGACAGGTCTTGTGGTAGGGGGTGGGGGGACCGTGGAAGGACAGTGTATAAGAGGGATTGGAAGGGGTGGGGCATCTCAGGAACAAGATGTCAGGAGAGGATGACTTTTATCTGTTCAAGAACACTTCCTCTGTGGGGCCCTGGGATGGACCTCAGTACCACATTGCCCCCGTCTGGGCCTTCCAACTCCAGGCAGCCTTCATGGGTTTTGTCTTCTTTGCAGGGACACCACTCAACGCCATAGTGCTGGTGGCTACGTTATATTATAAAAAGCTGCGACAGCCACTCAACTACATTCTGGTCAATGTGTCCCTGGGGGGCTTTCTCTTCTGCATCTTTTCTGTCTTCACTGTATTCATCGCCAGCTGTCATGGATACTTCTTCTTTGGTCCCCATGTTTGCGCTATGGAGGCCTTCCTGGGATCTGTAGCAGGTACTTTGGGGAAGGGAGCTGGGGAGAAGCCAGAACTGGAAACTGGGACTAGACTTCTGGATTGGAGAGGGGCTCTAAGATCAGTGTAGAAGTCTGACCAAAACAAGATTTTTGTGTCTTAAATCCCACTCCAATATCAGTTTAACTCTATCTCTGGACCTACTCCATGTCATCGGCATTCTACTCTTCTGGGTGGAGCTCTATTCAGTCTCATGTTTTGCCCTAGGTCTGGTCACAGGCTGGTCACTGGCTTTCCTGGCCTTCGAGCGCTACATTGTCATCTGTAAGCCCTTTGGCAACTTCCGCTTCAACTCCAGGCATGCACTGATAGTGGTCTTGGCTACCTGGACCATTGGTATTGGCGTCTCCATTCCACCATTCTTTGGCTGGAGCCGGTGAGAATTCAGGGCAGTAGTGTTGACTTGGCTAGGAGGTCAGGCTTGATGTGGGTAGACAGACAGCTCAGGGTATAAACTTGTAGTTTCTGACCTGGACCTGTCAATTGGAGCAGGTGAGGTGAAAGGGCTCAGGGAAATGTATGTCAACAAATACAGTGGAAATACAGTAGGCTCTGCTAGTGAGGACACAAAATCCCTGAGCGGAAGCTTTCTGGCTATTTTTGGGTTGTAGGTGAAAAACAATTTCAGCTCCCCCTCCACTAATTGAATCCCAAGTGATGGCTTGTCTTGTGGGTGAGTATTGGGTTCTTTGCAGGTTTATCCCTGAGGGTCTGCAGTGCTCCTGTGGCCCTGACTGGTACACCGTGGGCACCAAATATCACAGCGAGTACTACACCTGGTTCCTCTTCATCTTCTGCTTCATCGTGCCGCTCTCCTTAATCTGCTTCTCTTACTCTCAGCTGCTGAGGACTCTCAGAGCTGTGAGTGGCTTTTGAGAGGGTCTGGGAGAAGTGGGCTCCAGGAGAGACAAGAGCGCTCTAGGACCTAAGTTACCTGGAAATGTTCCTGGCCAGATAGAGGAGGTATCTGAAAATAGGAAAGAAAGTGGGGGTAAGAGGAATGATGGAATTGAATGAAGAATAAGCTGGAGGCATCCTTGCTCAAGCTAAGCACTAAGAGATACATGTAGCAAGGGTGTGGTTCAGTGGCAGAATGCTTACCCGGTGGACGTCTAAGTTCAATTTCTAACACTTTAAGAGGGGCATGTGATCCCTAACAATGTCATATACTAGAAAGCCACATTCACCTTGCTTTCAAGAGAGAGCCCAGAAAAAGAGGCAGAGTGGATGCTCCTCAACAGAAAAGGGTTAAGATTTGGGAGTTGAGGGAGGGATCTCTAATCCTCTCTGTGCTCTGCCCAGGTGGCAGCCCAGCAGCAGGAGTCAGCTACAACTCAGAAGGCTGAGCGGGAGGTGAGCCGCATGGTGGTGGTGATGGTGGGATCCTTCTGTCTCTGCTATGTGCCCTATGCTTCCCTGGCCATGTACATGGTCAACAACCGTAATCATGGGCTGGACTTACGGCTTGTCACCATCCCTGCCTTCTTCTCCAAGAGCTCATGTGTCTACAATCCCATCATCTACTGCTTCATGAATAAGCAGGTAAATTGGTCTACTGAAACTCCCATAAGACACTGGTCCTTTCCCTATTAGTGCCTTTTAGTTAGAGCACCTTTGACTCTATTCAGGTTTCCAGAAGCTACAGAAACTCCATGTTGGCCAGGAAGCTCTTAGTAAGCACAGGAAAAGAAAGAGTAGTAGCTAAAGTAACAGAACTTAAGCCAGAAAAAAAGTGCTGGGGATTGAACCCAGGACCTCACACGTGCTAACAACTATCATTGGGCTATATCCCCAGTCCTGTTTTCTGATTTGCTAAAAAAGTAGTTGACAATTCCAGCTCATGGTCCTTAATCCTTTCCCTTCCAAATTCCAGCCTGCAGAAACATGTCATTCTAGATGAGAAGTTACTTTTCCAGGAAGGAGACATATTCAAAACCATCTGAGATCCTGGGTTTGAGATGTTATGTGAGGTTTGGGAGACACCTCCATCTTTATGTTACCTTCTACATCCATTTGCCAAGGGGCACCTCCAATTCCTTTTTACTTGTAGTTTCGAGCTTGCATCATGGAGATGGTGTGTAGGAAGCCTATGATAGAAGAATCTGAGATGTCTAGCTCCCAGAAAACAGAAGTTTCAACCATCCCTTCTAGCAAAGTTGGCCCCAACTAAGGACCCTTTCTATTAGCCTGGTGGCAGCAACTAGAACTTCACATTTAAGTAAGTTTCTAATTTAATTTCTATTAAAGGAAGGGGAATGATTGTACTTTGGGCAATCAACTTTTTTATTTTCCTGTTCCCCACTGGATTCCCCTCAGACACCCAAAGGCCATCTCACTAATCAGCAGTTCCGATTTCTAAGTGACACCCTTTACAGCATTTGGAGAACTGTAAGAATGTACGGCTGATATTTCAGTGGATACGTTTTTGTTTTTTCTCTTACTGGGAAGAAATGTACTCATTACCTGACATATGTAGCTGTAATCCCTCTGTATATCACCTTTACAATAAAAAAGTTAAAAAAAGAAATTGAATTGATGCAAAGAAAAAAATTCCTATCACTCATTGTTATGTTTAAATTTGCGTTTGAGAGTGAGGTATAGTTCAAGAAGAACTTCCTCATGCTACCTGCTGATAGTTGGTATGGCTTTGGTGGGGGCAGCCATGACCATAGCTCCTGTGCTCGGATGATTTCAGATGCCCTCGACTCATTTGGCTGGACAATGTGTCTTTTACGCCGCCCACCTATTCAAGTTATTAATGTCCCTGATGGTTCCAAAATGAACTTGCATATTTTAATACCATTTATAAATGATACCAAAGTGTTGTTTTATATTACACTCTGTATTCTCCTTCCATTCCCATAAAAAGCCTTTTAAAATGTATATGCATCACACAAAGAATACCATGTTTTGTTATCAGGTAATTACACAGTGAACTGGACTCTACCAGTGATAGAACCCCTGGGAAGTAGAGAAGAGTTACAGCTGAGAGGATGGTAGAAGAGTCCAGAAATAGGAGGAAAGGAATAACCAACTGGGGAGAAGGTAGTATTTTCTCTGGGGTTGATAGGGGGCCTGGTGAACCTGTAAGATTTCTTTTCTGTGACATTTTACAGAACCCATAATTCTAAGTAGTTCCATTTCTTCCTTTCTCTTCCTTCCTTTTATTTATTTTTGCCAGTCCATGGCATGAAGTCAGGGCTTGGACACTGTCCCTGAGTTTCTTTTGCTCAAGGCCAGCACTCTACCACTAGAGCCATAGTGCCACTGCTGGCCTTTTCTGTTTATGTTATACTGAGGAATCAAACCCAGGGCTTCATGCATGCGAGGCAAGCATTCTACCACTAAGCTGCCTTCCCAGCCCAATAGTAGTTCTATTTCTGAGAGAATGAAAGACACGTATATCCCTAATGAATGTAAACAGTTTTATTTAGAAACAGATAGGTACCTGTTTGCATCATAGAATATAAAACTTGGTTTACACTCTGTAAAAAAAATAACCAATATCCAAGTTCCAAGGGTTAGCACTCACAGAACACACATACTGTGGGTGTGCAGCCACTATTCACTTGCTTCGGGCTTGATTTAAACTAAAACCAAAACCAAAGCCCCAAATCCCACAATATCAAGGAGCTCAGAGATGACAGTACAGTGCCCCAATCCAGAAGCTGCCATCATAGCAGAATACAGTTTGCTGTCTTAGTGGGTCATTTTCACATCAGGCCTGGGCTCTGTGCACCTAGTGGGGAGCTGTGGGGCTTTCTTGCCACACAGGTCATGATGAATGCTCTTTAAGCCAAGGTTGATAAAATTATCTCTGGTCTTCTTTACAAAAGAGAAATCTGGAGGGCCGAGAATGTTCGTTACCCTACATTTGAATTAAGTTCAAGAGTTTATTTGCTATCAAGAGCTCACCTCAATAGGATTATGGAAGACCAAAGGGTACACCTAGGTTCAGATATAATCACCCAGCACCACCTGAATGTATTATTCAAAGAGATATAGGAAATAATAGAGGTTATATGTACATATATTTATCTTAGTAACCTGAGGGCTTAAAGATTTAGAATACAATAATTCTTCTCAAAAGAAGTCCATTGGTAAGAAACGAACTCAAATGGACATAGTTCTTTTATATAAAATATGGGTAAAACGGAGTTGAAAACAGAGGGTGGTTTTGAAAAGGATTAGCAACTTGCTGATCCATGAAACTCCCCTTATTTTGTCTGTAAAGAGAAGGGGGAGAAGGGAAGGGGTGTGATGGGTCAAAAGCAGAAAGGGTGAGAAGTGGCCCTCAACCAAAGAACCCTCTCTGCAGATCCTTCCATCCTCAAGCTCTCTAGGGTACAGAGAAGCCCAGGCAGTGAGTGGCTTGCATTGAGGTATGAGGATCTCTGGTAAAGTCAGCAGCATGTGGTTTTTAGAAACCAGCCCCACAAGAGAAGAACAATGCAACCAAGCTTATAACTAATACTGCTATTTAATTATTGTCCAAAGGAGAAAAAAAGGAGGGAGGGAGAAACCCCACTATATGGGGAGGTTCTAAACTTTCATATAAGGGTATCCAAATATCCTTATTTTATCTCTCAAGGTTTAAGCAAATTCTCACTTAGTGATTGCTTCTCTTGTTAAAGGCACTTTCAAATGACATGATTGGACAGAATTGTAATTGTAGTGAAGCCAAGATTCCCAGGGGAAGAGTCAGATGGGGTACTTACAATGATTTCAAGAGGCACACACCCCGGAAAAAAAAGTATGCCCTGTACACTTGTATTTTTCCTTTAGTTTTCTAGCTGTTTCTAATGGGAAACAGCTCTCTAAAGAGCTAGAAATAGCTCTGTAAAGAGATCACTATTTGATTGATTTTTCAAGACACTTGTCCCAACTCTTCCCACCACAGCTGTGCTTGACAAAATTAGCAAAGTCCTACAAGAGGCAAAAAAATGAAGTCAAGTTCAGTCAGGATGTAGGCCAGCACAGGGACCTGTTATTGCTCACATCATGGCAGGCTCAACTGTGGGATCTGTAGGAATTGAATGGAATACATGGCTTCTATGACTTCTGAAATGCCAGACTTTCCAATAGGCAAAATGAAGTGTTATCTCTAAATAAAAATCATGAAGAATCTATTTTTCCTTTTTATTCTCCTGAACATTCTTATTGATCTCAGGCTTAAAAATCTGTTAAGTGAGGATTATAAAAACGATATAAGGGGTTGAGAAAGAGTAAAGGACTGTTTGCCTATAAGTGTGGTTTGAGGATCTTGATCCTTCATATCATACTTCCAACTAGAGACAATACAAAAATAAACACACCATGTTATACATTATACAAAGGGTAAATCTACAAACACAAGTGTACTAATTAGACTTGTTCCTCAGAAGCAGGCCCTCGGAGAGGAGGAGGAATAGGGACGGGATGTTTTTCATTATTTCATTATGCCTTTTCATGTCTCAAAAAGTTTGTAGTAACAGTCTCAGTAGCGCAAACAATTTCATGTGAAACCAGAAGCTGTAAAAATAAATTACTTTTGAAGAAAAATGAGCTCTTGTCTGCAGCTCAGAACTCATCATGTCTTACTAAGGCTTCCCCGAAATCTGTGGCCTGGCTGCCCACAAATAAATCATACTTGTCGACGATCTCCTCCTTCGTTAGCTTGCCATCCTGAAATTAGAGAGAGCGGTGAACTGAGCAGCATATATTTCCATTCCAAATTCAAAGATCAGTTACTGCCATAGAAATAACTGGCGTTATATCAGGACTTGAGATTCTAATTTCCACTAAATGTGAACTGTCCCCCTCCCCCTTTCACACACACTCACAGAGGATAAAAAATAAAATATATTTATCAATTAAGTCCAAACCAAAACATGGGCATAATACAGCTCAACAAACAATTCCATGAGAGTTAAGTTTGTTTCCCAGGAACAAATTCCCTTTGGAATAAAACATGGAACATGTGCTCCATACAAATGGTCAGTAACAAATGAGCATTCTTCAAAGTGATTCAAGTCACTGTCTAAGAGGAAGAATGAAAACTGCCAGTACCAATCCTGATCTGCCAGTCACTCTGTCAAGGTTCCTACATCTTAAACAGCACTGAGGTTTCCAAAGGTTGGCTTTTCACACATCTAGGACATGGCCCCTATCTACTCAAGTGAGCTATGAACTCACAAGAGTTTAACCCTTAAACTGGCTAACAGGAGTAGGAAATCTTTTTTCTGAAAAAACCATTTGGCAGTGATGTTAGTTGATATTGATATTGATATAAAAAAAAAGCTCCTAGATTTATTGAATTTAAAGTCTGCTTATGTTTGCCTCAGCAGGACCAGATCATATAATTTTGTGGGCTTCATATGGCCCATAAACCAGATGTTCTCTACCACCTATAAGATAAGAAACTGAGCTCTAACAACAATAACAAAAAAAAAAAAAAATCAATCTAGAAGAAACAATGTTAATTAAGAATGTTAATTAAGAGTGTTTGTAGCATGCATGAAGCCTTGGGTTCGATTCCCCAGTACCACATAAACAGAAAAAGCCAAGAGTGGTGCTGTGGCACAAGTGGTAGAGCGGAGATATGGAAACAACCCAAATGCCCCACTACAGATCCAAAAATTGTGGTACCTATATACAATAGAATATTTATACAGCCATTAGAAAGGACAAAATAATGGCATTTGCAGGGAAATGGATGGAACTGAACAAATCATGTTGAGCGAGGTAAACCAAGATCAGAGAGACAAATGGTTCATGGTCTCCCTGATATGTGGATGTTAAATTCAAAATGCAAGGAGATATATGACAAGTAAACAGGACTCAAAAAACAAAGGACTTCTTATTTTGTTGTATCATTTCTAGATGACTTGTTCTTGACCTCATATATGGTTTATACATGTGCGCATCTAAGGGAAGCTAGGAGGGCGCAGAATTAGAGGGAAACAGGGGGAAAAAATACAACAGAGGAGCCCATCAACTGCAGTGGACATTGTGAAAGTGGACCAACCAACTCAAGGGCACCAGTGGCTCAAGTCTGTAATCCTAGTTACTCAGGGGGCTGAGATCTTACATAACTGTTCATCACTTTTACAATAAATTTTTTTTTTTTTTTTGTCGGTCATGGGGCTTGAACTCTGGGCCTGGGCGTTGTCCCTCAGCTCTTCAACTCAAGGCGAGCGCTCTACCACTTGAGCTACAGCGCCACTTCCTACAATAAATTTTTTAAAAAAGAAAAAAAAGTTTGCAATAAGGAAGAGTTACTTCTTTATCCCAATATTTGAAGTCCTCCAAGATTTGATCCTATACTACTTTTCTATTATTGTTAAAATCTAACACTCGAAACAATATCTGTATTCATAGTTCCTTGTTGAAGTTTCTACAAGTCCATGGTTTTACTTCCTCTTTATATTTGCAATGTAAAACTTTCCCGACTTCTAAGCACACATAGTGCTTACCTCCTTCATGAAACCCTATACTGCCACTCGACAGTGACTTCTACTCCTGATCTCTTGTTCTACTCATCGCACTGAGAAATCTAACCCTACATAGACAAAGCATGGGTCAGCATTCAGATACTGGCTCAGTCATTCAATAACTGAGATAACATTACTTTTAATACTGAATGCCTTGGATAATTGAAATAGAACATTTTAATAGGCTTTAAGGGAAAATGCAAAGGACTGAAATTATTTAATTTTCTATGCTAGCACTCTACCAGTTGGGTCACAGTTCTACTTCAGGCTTTTTGGTAGCTTACTAGAAGTAAGAGTCTCATGGATTTTCCTGCATGGGCTGGCTTTAAACCACAATTCTTAGATCTCAGCCTCGTGAGTAGCTAGGATTGCAGGCATCACCATCACCCAACAATGTTCTATCTTGTGAAAATTTCATTGACAAACTTCCTAGAAATAGAGTTGGATCATTGCTAGACTACTTAGGCTGACCAGACTTACCTTGTTTTGGTCTGATTCATACACTAAGTGTCTGGCTTCTGCCTCAGCATGGTCATAATCTGAAGGGAGGATCCAGTCTTTGGTTTCTTCCTTGTCCATCTTCCCATCACGGTTCTTATCTCGAAACTCCACAAATTGCTCTCGCTCTGTCTTCACCCATTCTGGCTCATCAGCCTTTCCATCATGGCTGTACATGTCGCCTGTGTACACAGAAATACATACCAAAAAGTTGGGTCTTTATCCAAAGACTGCCCTCATGCTAATCTGGTCTAATCCTTCCTCCTCTATTTGTTCAGCACCTAATAGTCATTACACAAGTATCTTGGACTAGAAAGATCTTAGAAAACAAGGTATTTTTCTAGGGACTAATTACTGATCTTTCAACTAGAGTATTTATTCTAGCTGTTGATTTTTTGAGTAATATAAAGAACAAAGGAGATGCTTCTCTAAGGAAAGTAGAAAAATGAATTAAGAAACAGAAACAGATATATAACTCAAGTGGTAGAATGTCTGCTTAGCAAGTGTGAGGTCTTGAATTCAAACCCCTATACAGACAAAAAGAGAGGAAAAATAAAGTAAGAAAAAAAGAGCTTTTATCAAACTAAGAAGCTTTTGTATAGCAAAAGAAGCAATGAAGAGTGAAGAGATGCTGGTGGCTTATGTCTTTAATCCTAGCTACACAGGAGGCTGAGATCTATCTAAAGATCGTGGTTCAAAGCCAGCCAACGCAGGAAAGTCCGTAAGATTCTTATCTCCAATTAACCACCAGAAAACTGGAAGTAGAGCTGTGGCACAAAGTGGTAGAGCACTAGCCCTGAGCAGAAAAGCTCAAGGACTGCGCCTAGGCCTTGAGTTCAAGCCTCATGACTTACCAAACAATAAAGGAGGGAAGAAGAATAAACTCCTGTGTTCTTCAGCACCACAGGGCCATGACAGTTTACAATAATACAGAACAAGAACAGATAAATGTGAAGGTTCCAAACACAAAGGAGATGGAAATACTAATTACCCTGATTTACTCATTATACACAATTTGATATATGTATATTGAGTACATGTATATACTCAATACACGTGTATTATTACTATGTGAGTCATTATGCGTCCTTAGAAATAGAATGTGAAGTACAAAAATACCTAATATTTCTAAATAACAAAACAGTAATTGCAAAACACTGTACAATCTGCATTACTTGATAAGAGGCAATTTTTTTTTTTTTAAGAGCATTGGGAAATCTTAAAACTTAATTGGGGATTATAAAAACAGAGCTCTACTGGGGAGATTGTGGCCTCAAAGATTTAATGTACCAATCACCCACAGATGACTGAAAGGGAAAAAGGCCTAAACATTCTACCGCGCTTTTACAATGTGTCTGGCCAAAATTAGGAAATACTATTGAGTGAAAAAACACTCGACAATTTATATTAATAACATGTAGTAATTATAATATTTTAGAATATCACATTAAATAAAACATACTCAAAATAAATTTCACCTACTTCTTTTTACTTCTTAATGTGGCCATTTGAAACATTAAAATTACATATGTGGCTTATTTTCTATTTTGACTGAACAATGCTGTATAGATACTTAGTCACAATTCAGTATTCATCACATTGGTCTCCTATCTAATGATCTGGTTAGAAGATGGTAAAGGTGGTACATTGTTTCTATGGATGATTACATCTTCCAAAGCATCTGTTTCCTCTAAGTGAAACACTTAAGAGAAACTTACCAATATACTCTTCAAGATCAATGAAACCATCACCATTCTTATCTATATCTTCCATTGTTTCCTAAACAGTAAAGAACAAAAGAAGAGACAGAGTTAAATCTCTGAATGAATTTGCTAGAAGAATATAGTATATTTTTACAGTTAAAAGCCATAGGAAATTGTGTTTTTCTAGTTAAAAAATAGTATTAGCCATTTCGTATGCTCCCAGCTAAAATAACGATAAGTCTTAGAGGGAACAATGCCCAATGATGGTACAACTGCTCAATGATGATAGCCCTAGTCATGCTAATAGAAGATGTGAACAGTGATTATGCCTACATTATAGTCTACTTACTTATCTATCTATATATTTATTTTTACCAGTCCTGGGGCTTGAACTCTGGGTCTGGACATTATGCTGGACCTTCCTTTGCTCAAGGCTAGCACTCTACCACTTGATTCACAGCACCACTTCCAGCTTTTTTGAATAGTTTATTGGAGATAAGAATCTCACAGACTTTTCTGCCAGGCTGGCTTCGAACCGATACAATCCTCAGACTCAGCCTCCTGATTAGCCACCAGCAGCAGCTACAGCTATAGTCTTTGTTGTCAACAACTGTCTTCTCTGGGAACTCCTAGTAGTGCTGTTATTCCTCAGTTTCTGGCCACTGATCATGAGATGCTTTAAAAAACAGGATTTCCTCCTATTTTTACTATATGAAGCTACCATTGAAATAAATAGCAAAATACATTATCTGATGGAAAATATTATCATACTAAATTGAAAGCCCATAAGAAAAACTGATGGTACTCAGACTGGAAATCTGGCCAGTACGCTGAACACATAGGAAAGACTAAGAGCCAACAAAAGCAACAGAATGAGAAAGTTTTTGTTCAAAAAACTTGATCTGACCCACCTGTACTACTATGTCTTTCATGTAGTCATACTCCTCAGGGTGCAGAAAAGCTGTGAACTCCTCTTTTGTGGCAATGAGGTCTCCATCCTTGTCTGCCATCTTAAACCTCCGCTCATCTCTAACCATCATCTGTTTATAGTTAAACCCATCATCAGAGTCTGGATCATCTAGAAAACAAAAAGGTCAAACCTTAAAAGGCTTCTAGAAAACATTACAATGTGTGGGCCAGGAAATCAATTTTTCAAGAAAAATAAACCAAGCAATGAAGAAATAACTCTTACACAGATAAAATTAAACCAAGCAAAATAAAGAATTCATTCATGATTATAACAGCAGTAGCAAAAATCATTTAGCTTGAGCTAAGGCTTCAGTAATAATACCTTAGAATCAGGTCCAAACTGAATGTCAATGTTTGCCATACAACATATGGAACTCTGGTTCCTGACTTATCTAACTCACTAAGTAATGCTTAATTGTTAATTGTATTAAGACTATTAGAAAGATTAAATTCTCTAGTTATACTAGGAAGCAGTGGTGGCTTTAAAGTCACACTGCCTGGGTTTATACTCTACCACTCCTAGCTGGTATGTAGCCTTGGGCAAGTAAGTAACTGTGCCTTATAAAAGGAGGAGAATAACAGGGCCTGCCTCAGTAGGGTTGTTATGTAAGATTAATCTAAGTGATTAGAATGATGTCCACCTCATAGGTAGCACACACCCACCAGTCCATCTGTCCTTCCTCCCTTCCTTTCTCATTCTCCCTTGGCTTTTTCACCAAAGGTTGGCACTCTACCATTTGAGCCATAGCTCATAGCTCATAAGACTTTCCTATCCAGGCTGGCTTTGAACTGTGATCCTTAGATGTTAGCCTCCTGAGTAGCTAGAAATACAGATATGTGCCAGTTAGCTATTGTTATTTTTACTAAACTTTAGGCTCCCATTAAGAAGCTACATATCAAAGGCCTTTGTCTCATTTTAAAGACATTTAGAGTCAAGCAACAGAAAACCAGTACAGGAAAGGTCACCTTGCTTGCTTGTTTTTCAGCCACCCCAGAAATCTGCTAAAAGTAACAGGTACAAGAACAAGTCTTACAGAAAAATAAGTCTCTTCACTAGAAACACATGTAGGCCTCATCTTCCACTTACACAAAATTCTAGAAAACACACTACTCTAGATTTACAGAAATAAGTCAATGGTTGCTGAGGTACGGGGCATGAGGAAGACAAAAAGAAACAGAGAGAGGGAGCGGGGAGGGAATGACAGACATGTCCACTCTTTGTTTTGAAGAGTGCAGTGATAGTTTGATCTGGTGTACTCCTGTCTAAACTAATTGTGTGCTTAAATATGCAGATTATATGTTAAATGCATTTTGATAAAACTATTACAAAAACATTAGATTACAACCAAATTGAATTCAAGTTTATTCATCTGTTATAATGTTGAACTGCATAAGTAGCAGTTTATGAGCATCTAGGAAAAACAAGATTTACTATCCGTAAACTGAAAAAATGCAAGAGTTTAACTAGAAATGGAGTACAAAATTGAGTTGTTTTATGAATCAAACAGATGTAAAGGTATTTTGAAAAGTGGAAGATATCACCTTAAAGGCAAGAAATGCTGTCCCAACCTTCAACATTCTAAACAAAAACATGGCACTATTTTTCTAAAAAGACTCAGTGCCTGTTAACACTGTCACCATATTATTGCTGACTTTGATGCTATAGGTCTGTCTTTCTATACCCTGAGCATTTTTCTCTTTTCTTCATGGGCAAGAGAATGAGTACATTTCTTATCAAGCATTGTTGCCAACTGCTTTTTTTTTTTTTGCCAGTCCTGGGCTTGAGCTCAGGGCCAGGGCACTGTCCCTGCACTTCTTTTGCTCAAGGCTAGCACTCTACCCCTTGAGCCACAGCACCACTTCCGGCTTTTTCTGTGTATGTGGTACTGAGGAATCAAACCCAGGGCCTCATGCATGCAAGGCAAGCGCTTTACCACTGAGCCACCTTCCCAGCCCCTGTTGCCAACTGCTTTTTGAGAGCTAAGCAGCACGAAGCTTCTTTCTCAGTAGTGTCAAATATTAAGACAGCTTATTGAGTCATATGGCTTTGGAACTACATATATATATACTCAAAAGCTGTAATTGGTGAGCTGGAGTATTTAAGGAAAATACCATCTTTCTCAAATTCATCCCTTCCAAACAAATGCTAAATTTCAGTACCAACTATTCAATATAAAAGACAACAGAAGTAAAGTTACACTTTCAGACTAGATTCTTAAGCTAAGAGGCCTCCTTCCCACTCCCTCCAGTAAAAGGTGGCTGGAATCAAGAAGCCTAATGGCAACATGCACATAGAAAAGAATGAAAAAGAGAAGGTACAATATTTTATTTTTAATGATGAAATATATATCCCTATATCCCTGCTTAGAATGTGGTCTTCACCCTGAGCAACAATTTATAGACCTCTCTGGCCTTGTAACATAGCCTCAAGAGGGCTCTAGTTTTGGTATAGAAATGCCCAACTTAGTAATCTGCATTTTATTTGGGGCAGTGACAGTGTTAATTTTTCTTTTGTGGATAGTGAATTCATTGAACAAACCTTAAGAGTTAAGATGATTTACACTTGAACTTAAACTGGATCAACACATTTTCAAGAAAACTCAGCATTTGTCTAAGCCAACTCGTTACCCCCTGAGGACTGTACACTTGTAGACTTCCCGGGAAAGATGCCTTATAAAGACATCAGTCCTCCAGCCAGTGCTTTGGCTTGTGTAGTCTCAGGCAGTAGAAATACCCACTACATTGAATCATCTGCCCAGTGAGTCAATAGAGATCTCAACAGATTTTTATGCACATAATCATACACAGTTGAAGCAACATTCTGGGCAGCAAGTGAGTGCCTAGATCTGCCCTAAGATTTATTAACACACCATTTTGTTTAGATCACCAATAGCCTAGTCTACACTGTACTTTATAATTAATTGATTAAATTAGGAGGGTGTTGGGCCTCAGCCAGAGAACAAGAAACATGAAATGCCTCTCCATCTGTGCTGGCTTTTTAATACATGTGTTCTTAATTGGGTGGCTATGTTTGGTTCTTGGCTAAGGGTCAAATATTGAGAGAGGCTGCCACTTTAGAATTAGGAATGAGAACAAGCCCTACACAAAAATAAGTCTCTCTACTAGAAACACATGTGGCCCTGAAATTAGCATGGACAGCTGGCTATCTAGTGGGGACACAGATTTTTATATGCTCACTGTTAGCCAGTGGTGGGAAATTTGCCTAATTTCCATAAAAACGTAAAAAGCATCACTTACACATTCTTGATTCAAATTGTAACTATGTACAATTGAGGAGTCTTTATTAATAAAAACACCTGGAGGTCATCAACTCTGTAAGGCTGCCCCCTAGTATTTAGCAGAAGGTAAATCTAAGTGTTGAAGCAAGGAAAATTACTAACAGGTAGCCCAACTAGAGAGAAAGGGTACAAAATCAACAAAATAATCAAAGTAACAGTTATTTGCCTTGAAGCATTTGCAAAGCTGGCTGATAAATTAATGTGCCAGAGAAAACAAATGGGAAATTTTAATCTCTAAACTTCAGTAAGCACACACACTTGATAGCTATTTTATTTGAATTTTATTAAGGAAAGTATAGTATTCCTCCTATTTTTACTGGTTATAAAGAAATCTGATTTGGCTGGAATTTTAGGCCTGTTTTAGTGGGATCATGGCAAAAAGACAACTGAAGGCCTCTCGCTTTGCATTACTGGAACAATACAGCCTTTTAAATGAGATTTACTCAAAAATCATCCCTATGAGGAATACAAAGCAGAAAAATGTGTTTGCAATGCTAAGGGTGTAGAAAATGTTAGACTTCAAAAAAAACTAAAATTAAACAAAATTTAAAACACATGGTATACAAATTTAAAATTGTTAGGACAAAGGGGAATCAGTTCAACATCATCCTATTAAGATAGGCAAAATTTCTTTGTTTTACTACGTGACCCATTTGTTTCTCTGACTCAAGATCATGGTCTTGGCCAGGCTGACATCTTGCCCCTTACCCAGGTAAGTGCCATAAGTCACGTTTCTGTACTCATCCCAGGAGATTAAGCCGTCTTGATTCATATCAAACTCCTGCCATTGGTTTTCAACATTGTCATATATGTATTTCTTCTGGGCGTGCTTAATCCAGGATTTCAGCTCCCCCTCCGTCACAAACCCATCTTTATCCGCGTCTATTTTATCTACAATCATTCTACAAGACAAAACAGTTACGTTTCAAGGTGCCGGCTCCACAAGGCTTTTCCCCCAGATAGTAGGGACCTACCTAAAACGTAGCCGTAGGTGGCATTTTTATATTCCTCCCAGGAAACGAGGCCGTCCTCATTGAGGTCATGCCCCTTCCACTGTCGCTCTACATCCTCGTAAATCCAGCGCTTTTGTGCAAATTTAATCCAGTCTTTGAGCTCATCCACAGTGACAAACCCGTCCTTGTCGTCATCTATTTTACTTACAATCTTTCTGTAGAAAATGCAGAGAAATCCAGCAAGAGGTTAAAAAGACACAAGGCTCTGGACATTAGCCAGGTGTGTGCTGTGTCCATAAGAGTTGCCTAGAGCTAATACACAAAAATAAAAAATTGTCTTCAAAACAAAACTGCCAGACAGAGAGACAACTGAAATGTTTTCTCTAGCCCATTCCTAGTCTACAATGAGCTGTCTGGACAAGGCAAACAAATCTATGGCTGGTCACTGGGTCTAAAAACAAACCCAACCAATCTATTTAGTTAGGTTTTAGCATATGGTCAGAATTCAAGAGTGAAGACTCATGCTTATCTGGGTTCTGACCACTAGGCATTAAACAACATGTAAATCTTTATATTTTCCTTTATTATGTTTGCCTTTTCTTGGTAAATGATCACAACACTACTAATGGCTTTCTAAATATTCAAAAGTTCAAAGCAGACTTTAAAAAAAGGCAATATTTTCGTTAAAAATAAAAAGATAGAAAACAGCTCTGGGATCACAAATAGTTCAAGATTATTTTTAAAGATACAACAGGAGGATGCTTATCTAAAAAATGCCAGCAATTTTTATACACTATGCTATGTGAAACTGTATTTTTATGTACAACCATGAAAAGAAAAGCTGAGGAAAGGACATGCTACAATTATGAGACTGTTAATAAGCTGAGTGGTTAGTATGCAACTATAAAGCAAAACACAAGGCTAAAGAATGCCAGAAATGGTGCTGTGGTACAAAGTGGTAGAGCACTAGTTGAGCAAAAGGACTCATGGACAGTCATGGGTCAAGCCCCATGACCAACAAAAAGAAAAAAAAAAAAGAGTATCTCATTCTCCTTCAATGAAATTCTTCCATATTTATCATTTAGGGATTTAAATATAGGTTCATGAGCTAGGTATAGCTCAGCGGTGAAGTACTTGACTTGCCTAGCATACATGAGGACATGGGTTTGATCCTTGGCATTGTGTAATAAAAATACACACATAATACAAAATGTGTGAAGTTGTAATCCCTACTTCTGGAGGCTCAGACAACCTATGTAAAGTCACACATATACAAAGTCACATTACAGAACTGGAATTTGAAATGAAAACTTCCAAGAGATGTATTACCTCAACAGAGCCTGGAAGTACATGCCTATAATCCCAGAATAGGAACACGAGGCAGGAAGAGGAGCATAAGTTCAAGGCCAGTCTGGGCTGCACAGTGAGACCCTATTTCAAAAAGTCAAGAAAGGGGGCAAAATCTTGACACATTCCTAGGCATGATTTAAAAAAGACAGTCACTTGGAAGCAAGTTATTTTTTTCTCAATTTGTGTTTATTTCATGAATATAGATCAGAGTACTAGCAAAACTATTAACACAGGCTCCACATATTGATATTGATGTAGCATTAACTGTAACTATTACTTAACACTATTAAATAACAACTCCTTTCCTTCAAATAATTTGTAATCATTCAGACTGAAATGCTAACAGAAAAGGTAAAGTAGTAAAACTCTTCCTTTGTCTACATGGACAGAAGACAAGTTTTTTTTGGTCAGTCATGGGGCTTGAACTCTGGGCTTGGGCACTGTCCCTGTGCTCTTCAGCTCAAGGTAAGCCCTCTACTGCTTGAGCCACAGCACCACTTCCGGTTTTCTAGTGGTTTATTGGAGATAAAGAGTCTCATGGACTTTCCTGCCCGGGCTGGCTTTGAACCTCGATCCTCAGTTCTCAGCCTCCTGAATAGCTAGGATTACAGGCGTGAGCCACCAATGTCCGGTGACAAGTTTTTTTTATTACTTTGTTTAGAGAATTTCAATATCAACAGATTGAAATTTTTTGCATAAATTTATGAGATCTACTAGTACACAAATGGTAGTTGTAACTAGAGAATTTCAATATCAACAGATTGAAATTTTTTGTATAATTTATGAGATCTACTTGTACACAAATGGTAGTTGTTACTAACAGTGCCACTTTCCTATTATGAAAAAAATGGGGAAGATATCTGAACCTCTCCATTCCCCAGAATATATATTTAAAACTACTATAAATAGCCTGAAGGATCATCCAGATAAAAACTAACATATAATGACTACTCCAAATGGGCTTTTCTTAATAAAGGCAGCCCGATATTTCAAACAGTTTAGTGGGAGGTTGAATAAATTCTTTTGGAAGAAACAATAAATATTTTTACTTTGTGGGCCATATATGATATGCTGTGAAAAGTGCACACACATATACATCATCTACACACAAACAACCCTCTAAAAATGTAAAGGCCATTCTTGTCTTGTTGACGACTATCCTGCCTACAGTAGTTATACCAGAAGTGGACATATTCCATATACAGCTAAACTCTAAAGCTCTGTTATTTATGAAGCTAATGATGAAGCTACTAAGCCTATAACACTGGAGAATTCTATGGATGCATGTAAGTATTTATTCCAGGACAGACACAAAGCACTTAATTGAACCTTATGTTATTTCTCCTAAAAGAGCTCATGTTTATTTCTACTAAAACACTTCAGTGTTTTAAAATAATTTTAAAATAATGGACTCAAGAGACTGAATAGTAGTTTTGAAATTTTAAGGCAACAAAATTTTATATACATCATGTGCCCTTTTCTGAGTTAGAGTCCATAGCTTTGTTTTAGAGTCCTAAAGGGTATGAGCCTGTGATGCCCCCAGAAAGATAATGATCTACCCTAGTTTGTTTCTATAGTAAACATTATCAAGGACTACCACTTCAAAACAAAAACCTTCAGCTGAAGGACACATACATAAAAGTTAAGTATATCATCTTTTTGGGGAAGAGAAAAAATGATAATACACAGGTAGAAAAAAATGTACTACTTTTCAACATTTATAAAAAGGTACTGAAAAGTATACATTACAATTGTTTAAATGCTTCCTGATGTCTTTAAAATAGTATATGTTTAACTTTAAACAATGACTTTTCTCTTAATCATTTGTAGTTTCCAACCTATAGTATACAATTACCTACCAAAATGATGTTTAGGAATGACACATTACATTTTTATCTTAAATTCATCTGGATTCCCTCTCCCCACACACTTTTAGACTATGCAGCCCAAGTCTGGCTTAGAATTCATGATCCTCCTGCTTCTGCCTCTGTCTCTGCAATACTGGGATTCCTTGTGTTGCTATGCTTAGCTTCATCTGAGATTTTTGCTCCCAATAGTAGTGACTGTATGCATCAGGAATATTTGTTACTCACTCCAAATTGGAAGAAGCAAAACAGTATTTAGTCCATTTATACCTTCCATTAAAAACCCTAGTGTTATCATCTTATTCTAATTATACAGTCTACTCATGTGATGAACTCATCATCTCAGGCTAGCCTCGAACTTACTATGAAGTTCAGACTGGCCTGGAACACAACACTCTTCTGCTTCCATCTCCTGAGTCCCAAGATTACCACCACACCTGGCTACTTGCTATAATCTCCTAAAAGGTTAAGTTGGTTTGGCTTTTGTTGAAAGACACCCTGGGAGACCCTAAACCTTACAGAAAATACACCAGTTATTAGCCATTCAAAGACTTGGCTTGAGCAACAATGAATGATTAGGTCATAGGAAATTTTCCAAAATTATAAGCAGCAAAGATGATAAGCCCCCCTACCCCCCCACGGTCTGGGATCAAGATGATACAGTTTTTGTGTGAATAATATAATTCTGTATCATCTGGGTACTTTTATGCAAAAATGATTTTGCTTTATAGAATGAGTTACAAATTGTTATTCAGTAGTGAAATGTATGAAAACAGGCACTTAATTCATTTTTAGTGGTAGCAATTCAGTGGTTAGCTTTCAGAAGATGTAGTTCAGTACAGCTTTACAAGTAACCAAACCAGAAAAGAAAAAAATGAATTAGTTGATTTATAAAGACAGTGTAACCCTACCTACCCACCCAGGAACTGGCACCTTACCCAAGCCTTTCCTTGCTTTCTTCTGGTGTCAGCTGATCAAAACTCTTTGCTTCTTCAGCACCCAAGAAAGCATCATGGTCATAATCAAAACTCTCAGTATCATCGTGAACTTTGTCGCTGAGTTGAGGCTCATGATGTACACGGTCCTTCTTTTCTGTAGGCTTGCTCAAGGCAAAGGCTGTGCACAGGGACAGGCACAGAAGAAATTGCCGCAGGTCCATGATAACCCAATCTTAAAGAAAATGAAAGGAGGTTAATACAGCATGTGCTTAGCAATAAAACAAGAAACCAAAAGGTCACAACTTAGCAAAATAATTATTATGACCTACAAGTATGTGCAAGTCATTTATAACAACCAAATACTGTTACTTAAGTCCATAAAATAATCTGGCAGGATATTAACTTTCCAATTACAGTAGAAGATTTTCACCAGTTTCTTTCATCTGATTGTAGACTGGAGAGGAAATTATAGTTAAATGTTAGTTAGGTTTTCTTCAAAAGACACCAAAGAACATTCATTTGTTCAATTTGCTAAGAATAAAAGTGAAAGGACCTAGATTTAAATCCTGACTTTCAATCCTTTCCTCCTTTTCCTTCTTTTGTGCAATCAATACGAGGGCTTGAACTCAGGGATGGGTGCTGTCTTTTAGCTTTTTGTTCAAGGCTGGCACTCTACCACTTTACCAGGGCTTTACTTCTGGCTTTTGCTGGTTAATCAGATAAGAGTCCCATAGTCTTTATGCCTAGGCTGGCTTCAAACTATGATCCTCAAAGTTCAGCTTCTGTTTCTTTCTTCCTTCCTCCTCCTCCTCTTCTTCTTCTTCTTTTTTTTAGTCAGGGCCTGGGCACTGTCCCTAAACTCTTTTGCTCAAGAATAGCAATCTAACACTTTGAGCTACAGTGCCATTTCCAGTTTTCTGGTGGTTAACTGGAGATAAGACTCTCAGGGACTTTGCTGCTGGGGCTGGCTTCAGGCTATGATCCTCAGATCTCAGCCTTCTGAGTAGCTAGCATGAGCTGCCAGGGCTCTCCTGCCTCACCCTCCCTCTGTCTTCCTTCTTTCTCATTCTCTCTTTCTCCTTCCTTATTTTTATTTTTTTAAAACTCAGGACCTTGTGCATGTTAGACAAAGCTCTACCACTAAAGCCATATCTCTATCCCTTTTTACTTTAGGTTAATTTTTAGACACGGTCTCCAGCTTTTTGCCAGAGCTAGGCTTGATTTCCCAATTTCTGCCTTCTGTGTAGTATGTAGGATCAGAGATGTGAATGACCATGTTCAGCTTATTTGATATAGGGTCTTCAGAACTTTTTCCCCCAGATTAATCTCTACTCTGAGTAGCTGGGATTATATACATAAGCTACCAGTCCCAACCAATCTTTTAGTTCTTCCACTCCATCAGTCTAGTCTGGAGTCTTCCACTCCATCTGGTCTGGTCCTCAAACCTGACTGGCTATTAGAATTATATAGGATGGGTTTATATAAGTTTAGACTCACTGAAGTGGAATCCAAGCATTAGAACTCTGGGCCTGAGCCGTTGTCCCTCAGCTCTTCAGCTCAAAGCTAGTGCTCTACCACTTCACTTGAGCCACAGCGCCACTTCCAGTTTTCTGGTGGTTTATTGGAGATAAGAGTTTCATGGCCTTTCCTGCCCGGGCTGGCTTTGAACCATGATCCTTAGGTCTCAGACTCTTGGGTAGCTAGGATTACAGGTGTGAACCATTGATGCCGGGCGCATTACTAGCTTTGTTTCTGATGACCACCACATGAGAAACAAATGAAATACTATGTATCTTCCTAGGTCTATAGCACATAGTTTCTCACATACAGGGTAACCTTGAATCACTTCCAAAGACCAAATAAATCATTCAAATAGTTCTTTCTTTGACCTTCTGTACAGTCGTCTTTCCCAAATTTGCCCAGGAAAAGAACAACTTGGCGAAGTACTTGAATAGTACTTTTGAAATAGCACTATTCAAAGTACAGATCCCCAAGCCAGCATCTCATCAATTTCAGGCAATTAAATGAACAATAACAGGCAAAGTAAATGAACAAAAAAAAAAAGGTTGGAATACTTGAGGGAACAAAACTACAGAGAAGCTATAGATCAGAAGCCTGTCTAATAAACTATAGATTCCTTACTACTATGGAGAGTACAGGCAAGTCCCAAGATCCTTAAAAAATTTTTTCTTAAATCAAAGGAGAGGTTTTCCTAGACATTCATATTTTAATTACTCTTTTCCCAGATGAACATGATCACTGAATGTCCATTCACACACACATCAGTGAGAATAAGTCACCTGCAATTTTACATTATTTCTTCCCAATCTCCCATTATGTCTAATCCCTTTGGCACCTACCAATGTGACTTTATTTGGAAATAGTCTTTGCAGATGTAACCACATAAAAATGATGTCATGATTGTTAAGAGTGGGCTCTAACCAAAGATTGGTGTCCTTATAAGACAAGGGAAATTTCGACACACACACACACACACAGAATGAGAATGTCATGTTATGAAGATAGAAAGACTAACGTAATATATTCTACGTGTTAAGGAATGCCAAGGACTGATGACAACCACCAGAAGCTCTGAGTAGGTAGGACACAAGAGCCTCCCTTAATCTTCAGAAAGCATGGTCATGTGAACACCTGTGCTTTTAAACTTTTAGAAAACTTTTCTCTAAAGCTTTCTTAAAAAAAAAAAAAAAAAAAAAAACTGAAAAAGTTTTAGTTTTCTTACAGGACTCTAGGCATTCACACCAAGGATGGATGCCAAAGGAGGATATTCTTAGGGAAAGAGCATAAAGGCTCAATGCCCATGTGCCTCTAGAATAATGTGTGTGTGTGTGTGTGTGTGTGTGTGTGTGTGTGTGTGTGTGTGCGCACGCATCACTTGCCCCAGTGTCTATTCTCAAAAAAAAATACTGCTTCCAACAATGTAACCATTAAGAACAAGAAAAACCCATACAAGGAAACTACATGAAAGCAAGACCATGAACTCTAAGAGAAAGGGGTAGAAGAGAGTACTTTTTTTTTTCTAGTCCTGGGGCTTGAACTCAGGGCCTGGGCACTGTTCCTGAGCTTCTTTTGCTCAAGGCTAGCACTCTACCACTTGAGCCACAGCGCTACTTCTGGCTTTTTCTATTTACGTGGTACTGAGGAATGGAACACAGAGCTTCATACATGTTAGGCACTCTATCACTAAGCCACATTCCCAGTCCTTTTTTTTTTTTTTTTTAAAAAAAAATGCCACTTCCACCTATCTTAGACTAAAATATGATTCCAAAAAGTTCTTCATCACCTTCATTTGAGTTAATCCAAACACTTATATATGTATACAAAGGTACACGTATCAAAGATATGCAATGATGATTGGATATTGTGATTTAAAAACTGGAAACAATGCAGGAAGATGGCTCTCTCTGAATAAACAGTTTTAGGGTCCTAATATGCACTTCTTCCCATGAGATCAACAACAACAAATATGTAAACAAATAGTCACAGGAATGGAAAAAAATAATTCATAACTTGTACACAAAAGGACAGAAAACTGAAGATCCCTCCCCTAATGCCTCCCACTCCATCCCATGGAACATTCTCTAAAATAGATTGTATCATAATACACACAAAGAAGCTAAGCAAATACAAGGGGATTGGCATAATTCCTTGCCTCCTATCTGATTACAGTGGAATCAAACTAGTTCTCAACACAAAACATACTACAGAACTCATTCAAAACACATGGAGGCTGGGTCACAGAAGAAATTAAGGAAGAAATTAGAAAGTTCTTACAATTCAATGAAAATAACACATCACAATGGGACCTCTGAGATATAGCAAAAGCAGTGCTAAGGGGAAAGTTTATAGCTCTAAGCGTACACATAAAACAAACGGCTCAAGTAACTTCATGATTCAACTGAAACTGCTAGAAAAACAAGAAAAAAAACAAATCTAAAACTACTAGACAGAGAGATAGGAAAGATTAGGGCAGAAATCAACATAAGAGAAACAAAAATACTATACACAAAATCAAGAAACAAAAAGCTGGTTCTTTGAAAAAAATGAATAAAATTGATAGAACACTTGTGAGATTGATGAAAAAAAGAAGAGAGGAAATTCAAATCAATAAGATGAGAGATGCCACAGGAAACATTACAACATCAAGGAATCCATATGATTATATAACGAACTACTTTCAAAACCTAGTCTCACAAAAGAAAAAATATCTAGCAAAAATGGATGAATTTTTATTTATTTATTTATTTATTTTTTGGGGTCCGGTCATGGGGCCTGAACTCAGGGCCTGGGTGCTGTCCCTCAGCTCTTCAGCTCAAGGCTAGCGTTCTACCACTTGAGCCACAGCACCACTTCCAGCTTTTTTCTTTTTGCTTATGTGGTCCTGAGGAATCGAACCCAGGGCCTCAGGCATGCAAGACAAGCACTCTACCACTGAGCCAACTTCCCAGCCCCATGAATTTTTAGAAACATATAAACTCCCTATACTGAACCAAAATATATAAACCAATCAAACAAGCCAAATAACATGCAACAAGTTTGAGGAAGCAATCAGAAGTTTTCCAACAAGGAAAAGCCCAGGCCCAGACAGATTCCCCTCTCTCCCACCACACACACACTGAATTCTGTAAGACTTTTAAAGATGAACTAATACCAATACTCCTCAAGCTTTTCCGTGAAACAGAAACAGAAAGATTATTTCCGAATTTTTTCTATGAAGCCAATATCACACTTATCCCCAAACCAGGTAAGGATCCAACATAAAGAGAACTACAGACAAATTTCTTTGATGAACACAGATGGAAAGTTCTTCAATAAAACAGTAGTCAAGAGAATCCAGAAACAAATAAAAAAGCATACATTATGACCAAGTAGGCTTCATTCCACAGATGCAAGGCTGCTTTAACATATGCAAATCAATAAATGTAATTCACCATGTCAACAGAACCAAAGACTTTTAAGAATCACATGATCATCTCAATAAATGCAGAAAAAGTCTTCAACAAAATACAATATCCATTCATGTTAAAAGCTTTGGAGAAACTAGGAATAAAGGAACATTCCTTTAAACAATAAAGGCTAAAAAACAAAAACGAAAAACAAAACAAAACAATAAAGGTCTACAGATGACAGACCATTAGCCAACATCATAACAATTGGGGAAAAACTAAAACTTTTTCCCTAAAATTAGGAACAAGACAAGGATACTCACTC